TTCCAACTCCTCATATTCTGGGATTCTGTGTAATTCTCTCTGTGATACTGTCCTAAAACTCCATATTCAAAACTGCGATTGTCCTCTATTTCTAGACAGCAGCAGCCAAAAGAAAATTCTTAAGTAGAGAGTCTGATTTCAATTATAACACCTTCTTTGTGTTACAGCACTAAGGTGAGGGGCTGGATGTAGTTATATAAACAACTGTATATGTTTGTACCTATTTAATTACTTTTCTGGGTGCATTATTTGAATAATCCCTTACCCAAACATCGTAGAAACTTCATTAGAATCTGTATTTTTCATACTAGCAAGGTATGCGTTGTGATGAGAGAGACAATGGAGTCCTACCTTGTGTATTCTGGATGTTGAAGCCATTCCTCCTGTATTTTTTATCTGGCTGCAGAATGCCCTGCTTCCTCCAATGCTCTATGGTGTTTGTCATTCAGCATCTAAACAGTCTGCTTAATAAAATACATATTTTTATGTGCTATAGAATAGACATGAGAAGACCTTTTGTCTTCCACCATGGAGTATTTCTGTCATATTAGTAACTACCTGACCTGGTATCAGATGGGAAGTCCTCAGCTGCTAGTTCTGTCTTCTGTTTTACTTTGTTGTCTGCAAGTCAGTTTTAGATCTTAGTGACATTTGAGAATGAAGCTAAAGTTAAAAAGTACTTTGGGTCTAACCAGTATTGTGGTATTAGATATTTTTAAAGTATCTGGCTGGATCAGACTAATGGGCTCATGTAGGGAATTGGACAGTTTAGCATTGCTCAGGTTATAAAATTGCATTGTTGGATGCTGTACCTGAATTCCTTACTTTATTTGGATGAAAACATAAAGTCAGATCAATCGATTAATAACTTCACAAGCAGTGAGACAAAGTTGGAATGTTTCATTTAAGAAACTTTATGGTGATTTTTTGTGTTTTGTTTTGTTTTTTAAATTTGTATTCATGGCTTAAATGTTACTGACTCTTTTGTTTTCCTTTGTCAGAAATCAGCCTCAACGTTAGAGACCCTCCCACGAAAATAAGTATTATTCCAGAAGAAATGGTTAAGCCAGAGTGGGGATTACCTGAAGCTAAATACCGGTTTGTCACAAGGTAAACTAGCATTTTGTTGGTTGTCAAGATGGAATTTAAATTTCACTCCATTTCACTGAATATTAATTGAAACGTTATTTGAAGAGTTTCTGAGAACGCTTTGTGTTTTGTTATTAAAAAATACTCACTTTTTTATTACCTGAAGCTAAATACCGGTTTGTCACAAGGTAAACTAGCATTTTGTTGGTTGTCAAGATGGAATTTGAATTTCACTCCATTTCACTGAATATTAATTGGAAAGGTTATTTGAAAAGTTTCTGAGAAAGCTTTATGTTTTGTTATTAAAAAATACCCACTTTTTTGTTCTGTTTTTGTTTTAGGTCAGAACTGGATGGCTTACCACACAATCATTGCTGTGATGTTATTGGTCTCGTGACGTTTGTAGGAAGGGCTGAGCGAGCAAGAAAGAGAGGTTTTTGTATAAATATGACTTTCAGAATTTAATCAAGCAATTTTAAACTTTCTGAATAAATACTGACACATTTTTCTTAATGTTCATATAGAACACGGTGAAGACTTCTGGCTCTATCGGTGGGCACATGCCATGGATGGGACCTCAGACCAACCATTCATACTGGAATTATTTGCAACTTCTCAGCCAGATGTGTTTGAACGTATTCACCCAAGTATTCATCTCTCTATAATACTTACTCATAATTATTTACAGTATTTTTCTAGCTGGTTGCTAATTTCACGTTCTGTGCATAATTGCCACTAAATAAAAAATGGCCATGGTTTATCTCCTCATACAGAAAATAGATAATCAGAAATTAAAAATAAACAAAATAGTTTAAGTATTTGAAACTCTTATCATATTGCAATCTGCCAGTTTGTCTAAACAAATAGATGGGCAGCTGGGCCTGCGGCTCACCTCCTTAATTTCAAACAGAAGCTTAAGTGAAGCACCTGGGACAACATTTCTTGCATCAAAGGCAAATAAAGAAGGCAGCTGGTCAGATCTATTACTCCTTTTTTTCTGTAAAACAGAATGGGAATAATTTAAAAGGAATGGAGGAAGGGAGAGGTAGAAGTGGAAAAACTTCATTTCTTTGAATAAATATTTTTTTTGCCAAACAGCAATCATCACCCAGCTGTGTTACTGCATGTGAGCTAAGAGTGATGAATTTCAAACTGGAGAATCCTTCATTAAGGATTTTAAAAGAGCTTTATATATTTCTTCTTCCCTTCTGTCTCTCCTCCTCCAAGCACTCATCCTTCCATTAACGTTGGTTGGTGTCATGTGCATTTGTTCTATCATATGATGCAGGACCAGCTGCACAACCCCGTTGAGGTTGTGACTGCATTTATCTTGAGCGTTCTGGGGAAACGGCAAAGAATGATACTGCATTGTTTAACTGAGATGTTGACAAAGGAGTGACTCTGTACTCCGTTTAGAAGTTTTGCAGTGGCATGTCGTGATTTCTTGTGCTTCCCATGATTTTATGCTTTTTATCCTTAAGAAACATAGTCATCTAATATCCATATTTTTACTATTTGTTTCATTTGTATGCTTCCTGATGACGAATCTCGTGTTTTAATCCTAATATGTATGCTGAAATTTCCTTCCGCAGGTACTAAATTGAACGTGTAATTACATCTCCATATTGCAGTTTATAACAGGGGCTCAACATACGCTGAAGCATTTTTAGGGTCAAGAACTTGCGTGTCAGTCTTGACGTTCTAAAATCAATGAAATACCAGGAAAAAAACCCTGAAGTTTGGTCTGGTTTTTTTTCCTGCAGTGACATATTTGGTGTGTACACAGATGAGAGTGGTACGGGACCTCACTGACAATCCTTCCAGCACCATTTACCTTACAACTTCAAATGAAAGTCAAATATTCATTACAGGTAACTTAAACTACTTTCAGTTTCGTGTAATTCTCATTTATTTGGAAAGGGCATTTTAATTTTACAAGAAAATAATCAGTGCATGGTGTTAGTTTCCTTGTCAGAAATGACTGAGAGTTAAAAATGAAATAGCATTGCAGGAAGAAAAAAGCAAATTCCATTCTTGCGAGGCATTGATGCATGTACCTCATGAAAAGTACCTGAGCATTACTAGGTTGAGTAATACGTGTACTAATTCTTTCAGACTGTTTTAATCCTTTGTTGATGGAGCAATGTGGATTACCGCTTCCTTAAAAACATTAAAAATCATGTGCAGCTTTTCTGGCTTAGGGATTTCTTTTATTACAAATAAAAAGAGGTTATAGTTGTCCTAAGTTTATCTTAGCTAAGCTTTTACACCAAATATTTGGAGAGCTGGTATGTTTCATCTTTCCCAATATGCAAGACCTTATGCAGACCACATGATTTGGAAAGGGATGTGGTGCTAGGCTGCACTGAAGGAGCATTCCTTCTAGATAGTCTTGTTTGAATACTCCCATCTGCAATTACTGTGCTCTTTATGGTCCTGTGATACTGTGCACTTGATACCATCAGACAGCGTGTCACAGGTAGGACCAGGCACAGCTGTCTGTGGGATGTTTGCTCTTCAGTCAGGAGGCAGGCTATAGCAGTGTTGCTGGTGGGTGATGTGCTGACCTGATTCCAAGATGCAACAGGTATATTTTTCCTGTGTTTGTTCATCCAGCTCATTTCTTTGGTGTTCCTAACGTATCAGTCACCCAGACTGAATCTGTCTGCTGACAAGCAGAAATAGAGAAAAATAGGTGCTAGAACAGTATCTGAACATAGTCAGTTCTGTACATATGGTCTTTCCTGACAAGTTGTGTAAGGTGTTTTGTGCTTAATTAGACTAGCAAAACAAGCTAATAGGTTTCTGGTGATTTAATTTACTTCTAAGTGAAGGTTTTGAGAGGTTTTTTTTCCTTTGCTTTCCTTCAGTCTATTTTGTATTCAGTTCACAGCTTGGATATAGACCTGGTCAGATTACAGTTTATTTGATAGAACTGGTATTTAGTCCATATCTTGGTTTTAAACCAGCCAACAAACGAATACATACCTTGCCAAGTACCTGTCAGTAACAATCTTTGCTGAACCCTATGAAGATGATTTAACTAATTTATACTGCTAATAAAGCAGTTTCTACTAATTTTATTGCTTTGTACGCTCCTGTGAGAAAGTATTCTAGTAGCATTTTTGGTAGTTGATTTATTTCTTTCTATTACTTAACATTTGTCTAACTTTCGTTGTCAAACGCAAGCGTCAAGGAATTCAAGATACTTCATAAAACACCGTTAAATAGTGGAAAGTTGTCTTTTGTTTAGTCCAATTATTCTTACTTTGTTTCTTCTACATAGTGTTCAGGACAGTTTTAAGATGGGAACAGGTGACAGTAACCTGCTTTGGCTTTGATACCTGATTATTTTTGTTTTAAAAGGATGGCACAAGGGCCAGCCGTACACCAAGGATATCAAAGTGAAAAACTTCATTCAGTGGACTAAAACACAAAGCGAAGCTGATCAAATGAAGAAAACTGTCATTGGTGGCTATTACCCTTTTCCACGACCTCCAAATAACTTCCTGAAATACTGTAAAAACAATAAAGGTATCACAGCATCAAACACCTCTAAGATTTGTAGCCTTTTTCAGTTCAGCCTTACTCCAAACATGTAAAGCATCAGTTATACAGTGAAACAGTTCCTACTGGTGATTACAGAAATGTGCAGTGTCACGTAAGAAAAACTCCATTTCAGGGCTAAAAGTATCGTAGGCTAAATCCTCGTCTTAGAGACAGTATCGTGGCACCATTGGCTGCAGGAAAACTGTAGCAGCTTACATGAGCTAAAGATCTACACAGAAATTTTACTCTGAACATTCTGCTAAATCAGAATTAGAGACAGTTAAGAATACAGGGAATTGAAATTTCACCTGTAACAAATTATGATATCTGGTAACACAGACTGAAGGTGCTTGTGAGCTAAAACGGGTTTATTGTTTAAATTTTTTTCCCTTGTGATGTGAACAGCAAAAAAGATTTAAAATTCTTCAAAAATGAAATTTTCAATCAATTTAATCTTTAGTAACAAATTATCTTCTGAGTCTTGCGTTCAGACATTTTGATGTTGTATTTCTGTAAAACCTGTTTATTGACATTTCTTTTTTGCAGTTGAGTCGGTTTTGAAACCTTGGGAAAGAGCTTGAAGACTTGCACTACAGAGAACACAAGCGCATTGCTGTTCAGGGAATAATCAGTGCCATAAGGTACATCAGCTATAGGAGTGCAGCTGAAGAAGCCTCGGGAGTGGAACTTGTTCAGGTACAGTGTTGCAGGATTAATGCTACAGCATTTAAGCAACTATGATTTTAATTAGAATGGAGAGTAATGCATTTGAGTTCAGAACCTGGTTAGATTGTCTCTTGATTAACTATATTTGCTACTTTGAGAGTAAAATTTTGGATAGTCTTAATTTAGAACTTCTTAAAAAGCATTGATTCAGTGCTTTTCTAGAAGTGTAATGACACTGCTCTGTCAAACTATGTAACTGTTTAGAAGTTACTAAAGAAGAACATAATTTCTGCTAGATAGAACATAGTTTTCAGAAGGCAGGGTAAATTGTTCTGTTACTTTAAAAGTGACTTAAAGACTTGCAGGTTTTTGAGCTGGAAGCTATAGCTTTAAGTGGTGTGAAACTCTCAAACAATTAACTGTTGTTGCAGAAAAATACTTCTCAGTCTGTTGAAAGTTCTCCTATGTCCAAAGAAGACTGTGTTCACATGGGGAAAAACACCACCCTTCAGAATAAAGAAGTGAAGTCTTTTCTGGAGCCACATTGCACTCCTGGGGAACAACATCAGCACCAAGCTCCCGGGTCAAAAAAGAGTTCAGTCAAGAGGAAGATACCACACAGATTAAATACAAGCGCAAAACAGTAAGCTCTCTTCATAAATCTGTAGTGGATCTTTTAAAAAGTGTTTAAGGAAATGAGTTCAGAGCCCGGGTCATAGAAAACATCTAAGAAAGCTTTAAAAGCATATATAGTATAGTCTTTAAAAGGTAGTTAGGTACTTTTCCTAGCATCAGGTGAGGACACTTCACATCAAGTGAGGATACTATTCAGGCTAATGAAGGATTGATTTAAGCAGCTGTTTGGTTTGCAGTGCTCTCTTCTGATTAGTATTCAGAATATTTTGAGGGAAATTGAAATTAAATATAATTAGGATTGAATGAAAACTTAAGTCTAGGAAAACCCTAGTGAATAGAAGTTTTGTCTTGGCAGTGTTACAGTAAACTCGTTACCGGATTTCCAGCGTGTAAGGAAAATTCCAACATTTGAATGTCATGGGTTCGTTCTGCCTGCAAGAAAAACATGCATGTTCTTTGCTGTGTGTGTTTTTATTTAATGAAATACTGTAAAATAATGGTGAATTTCCTACTTTAAGGGGGAGTGCATCTGTTATTCCTGTATCGTCTTACCCCTACTTCACACGGTCTGCAAGAAGAAAATTAGGGTAAGTCATGTGAAGTTAATTATGTTAAATAACTGCAGTGATGAAACAAAGATATTTGAAGTGAAACTTTCACAGGTCAAGAATCTGTATGGAAGTGAAATGAAAGAACAGATTCAGGTAGAGTTTAGTATTTTCTATTCACTTCCTCACCACTGATTCCAGTTCAAATGTATTGGATTGTTTTATTCTGAAACATGATTTTGAGCGCGTTATTAAACATTTTTATATTGTCACTAGTGCTGTGAATGTTATTTGCTAGTCTTGAAGTAAAAAGGTACTTTCCTTCATGCATTTTGTTTAAGGGCCATAAATTCTTATTTGTTCCAACACAGCTCAGTTCACTCGAATGTTTGAACTCTTTGGTGTCGGTGACTTAGGACGTTTAGGGTTTTTGGCAGCACTGATTTGGCCTGGTGTTGTGGGTACGGACACCCCTCAGTTGCCACCTTAGTTTCCTTTTAGCACCTTTTCCCTCTCCTCTAACACAAAGAATCACGGTGCTAGGGATATAGTAACAAAATTAATGGTGGAGTTGATCATAAGTTCTTGACTATTCTAGCAGTATTACTGCCCTATAAGCGTGCCTGTTTTCTTTAAAAACATTTCATGGAAGCTAATTTGCCAAAGCTTTTTCTGTGGGATAAATGAGGCTCTTTTGAGCCCACATGCCTATTGTTTCCTCTGGTCCTCCTGGTAGATACCTCATTTCCTATTCATTAAAAGCATGGCACCTGGCTTTAAGGTCACATCTCTGCAGGTGGTGCAGGAGTTCGCAGGGACTTGTGGCACAGATCCATAGGAAAATCAGGAGTATTTTTGGAATGTAAGGGATCCTGTTTTCTTTCACTTTCTAAGAAATGTCCATTTTTTTTCCTTGGGGGTGGAGGGTGGGAAGAATGTTTTCTCCCCATTTCTGAAAAGTGAAGCAAAAAGTTAAGGCATGTTTACTTTGTTCTCTGCTTTTCTCAATCTGCTACTCTCCTCGCTACCTGTGTGTCCACTCTATGCCATTAGTGCTAGAACCCCAACTAAAGGCGGAGACAGTCTGTGTTGGATTATGGAAAGCTGTTTCACTCTGTATTAATAAAAGGTAACTTGTGTATTTCTGTAATAACTGTGAACTTGTGCTGAATTCTCCAAATTGCGGAAGAAAAATAGAAAGCCTAACACCTAAAAATTGCATTATTTTCTGTTCTGTTACTTGGAAGTAGCAGAATGTCAGTTCTCACTGAAATATTTTAACACACTGATGAAATAACGGTAGAGATATATTTTGAAGTACGTACTCTAGCTTAAATTATTTTGCGTCGAGTATTTTGTGCAATTCTTCATCGTGTTGCATTTTATTTTTCCAAACAGTAAAAACTTATTTTAAGGCTCTTTATTGACAGCCTCAGTACCTACATTTCTGAGGTCACTTATTAAAGTGATTATTAAGGGTTTCAGAAAGAACAAGGTAAGGGGAAACTGGATCCTTTAATATTATTGTTGATACTTACATCCTTGCTACTAGAGACATTCTACGTAAATGTACTTTTAAGCATTTAATAAACCCCAAAGTAATTTAATTGATAGCTTATCGTGAATGGGGAAAGATCAGGGATTTCAGAAAGGCTTATTTTTATGTGGAAGTGAAAAAAACCACAGTTGTTTTCTTAGCATTTCAATCACTCTAAGTTTAGCACTGCCTTTACCATGGAGTTGCTGGTGCACTACTTGCTCACACTCTGCACTGCTTGAAAGTAACTTGTTTGTATGCTGCTGTCCCTGCAGTTTCACTTCTAAATGTTTATGTGACTTATACGCTTTTCTCCTTTTTTCCTCCCCTGTGATGAGAACTGAGGGATAGGAATTCTGTAATATGGGGAAATTCAGCTTGAAGCTTGCATGGCTGAAAGTTTCCCAGAATTTGACGTTTCCTTCATACCCCTTTTTCATATAAATCAGATATTTTTTCAGGGAGAAGCTGGTAGATCCCAACATTCACATTGTGCAGGCTTGTTGAATTATTTTAGAAGCCTGTTTGGTAGATCTGTGTGCCATAATGGTGTCATGACAGCTGAGTTAAGTTGATTTCAAACCAGTCGATATAATAAGGCTTTTGCCAGTGTTATCAGTGAGTGGGGTGTTTTGTTTCGTCATTTTGAGGCACTTTAATTCCTTGCATGATTTGGGCATAGCTAGAAGTTGTAACTATTTTCTTTCTTAAGCTTTTTCATCACATTTAGTCCCACTGCTTAGGAAATAGGTGTGAAGCACAAGGCATGCTCATTTTCCTTGTATTTTCTAAAAGTATTCATCTGCCGTCTGTTTTGATTGATGTTATTTTTATTGGCAGTACTTTAAAGTAAAATGATTGAAAAGGTGAATATCAGTGCGTCTGGAAATACTGAATAAAGCCTTTTTTTTTTTGCAAGTGGGCATCTGTGAAAACGGGAGTCTACAGAATGCAGGCTGGGAATAGCAAATCTGGCATGGCACAAGTGCTCAT